TTGCAAGAAGGAAGAAATGATAAAGGTGTAAATTGAATCTTGTATTTAGATGAGCGTGGATAGATTTTGAAGGTAGTCTTTTTTTTTTTTTTTTTCCTTCTTGCAAAGAAAACGTACTTCATTTTCTCTGCTTAGAGGTACCTCTGGGTCTGAAGAAAGCTTGAAACCGAGTTTCTGTGGGCCAACTTCGGCCTGAATCCAATTACCTAATCCACACTTGCGGGCTCCATCATTTTAACAAGAAATGCCTTTTTCTTGGCATTACTTTAGCAAAAAAACAGCATAAAAAGAGTCAGTGTTTTTCTGAACCAAGTTTCATTTAGAGTCACCTTGTCTGAAACACTATTTTAGCATTTTATAGTAGAAAATGATCACAAGAATTTTTCCATAGGGTTTAGAAGAGAAGGAAAGACATGCCTTGTGTCATGAGTTAAAGCCCACCTTTATTCTATAGCTGGAGCTATCTTGATGTATTGATGATCTGTGTTCTTGACACCAGTGATAACAGGGTATGTGTGTGTATGTGTATAAGAGATTGCATTTTGCATTTCTTAGAATAAAATTTAGAATTGTGTATGCTTTCCTCAGTTTGTAAATGAGTGGTGTGAAGCTTCTTAAATGTTTGCAAAGGGTCTAAATGATACAGCACTAAGAGGGGAGCAGAAGCCAGCCACGTGGAACACCAAGGCCACACTGACATGTTGACATATGATTCACACCAGGCTCCTACTAGATAGAAGACAGACTGGCAAGTGCTTTTCTTCTCATGAGTACTCTAGTGAGTATAGAGTAACTATAATCAACTCCAAACCTATCAGGAAATTGAGTGTAGAAGGGCTGTTTATCAAAAGGAAATTTATGTGTGTATGTATTTATTTATTTTTAGCAGCTGGCTGGTATGGGGATCCAAACCCTTGACTTTGGTGTTACCAACACCACACTCTAACCAAGTGAGCTAACCAGCCAGTCCTAGAAGGAGAGGTAGAAAAGCTTTTTAAAAGAAGAAAAAGCTTTTAAATTATTAGATCAACAATCAATAATTGTCTCTGAACTATAGAACTCCAACCTTCTAGAAATGTTTTACGTTTTTCTCTTTGCTTTCCACCCTTCCAAGGGCCACATGGTTATTTTAAAACTACAGTGACTAAAAATTGTATGAGAATTTTGTAAGCTCCATTAGCTCTTCAGCTTCATCTTTACCCCTGTTGACTTCAGAAGATAGGAATCATTAGAACCCAGGCTGCTCCCTGAAAGAAGGGTTGTTGAGACATGCACTTTTGTTGTGGCGATACGTGTGTTGGGCTCTGTTGTCCGGTGCCAGTCTGTTTCTGTGTGGCAGCACATACTTGCCTTTGTGTTTCAGCCCAATTTCTTAGAAAGGCATGAATGGGCTGGAGCCTGGAGATGTACACAGAGCCTTCTCCAAGCATTTTTTGTGTTTTGCATCCTGGAAAGTGTACCTTCTTTTTCTCCTGCTGCTCATTCCCTCTCTGAGGAGTCTGTGGTGATTATACTTCAGAGCCGGATTCAGACAGCAAGAGTGGTCAAGTGTGCAAGGATTTTCACTTAACTAAGAAACGAGACAATTAAATCCACTAACGGGCCCCTGAGAACCCACTTAGTCTACTAGTTAGCAGTTTCTAAAATAATATCAACTTAACATTCTCCAAATGCACTCTCCATTTTTAACATTGTTTTAGTATACTATTTTTCTTCACTATGAAAAGGGCAAGGAAGCTAAACTGTTTCTTTGTTTTAAATTTAAATTATTTAACTTTAAATAATATTTTTGTGTACACCTGCAGCTCAATTGTAACTTTGTGCCTTTATGTAGTGGTTAGTTTAGTATTTGATTAAAGGGACTTTCCAATATCTCTTTGACTGCATGGAAGAACAGCACTGACATATTAAATCAAAGAATAGTTTTACCAGCCAGATGCCATGTAGTTATAAGTCATAAAACCAGCAGTAATTACTATGTTTTCTTAATAGATGATAAAACTTCACTAATTCAGCCTAAATAGAGAAAAGCAATCTTATATTTATGAAAATTTAAATATTAGAATTTTTAAAGAAATTCTCAGAAGAATAGTTTTATTTTAAATTGTATTCAGCAGCTAAAGGTAAGCTTATAATGGACCAAATTGAACAAATGAACAAATAAAATGAGTGGCAATTAGCATAATTATATTTATTTAATAGTCTTCTATAGCACTTATTTTGAAATTATGGAGAAGGACCAGATTTTTAATATACCTAGTATGCTGAGGATTGATAATACTTTTGCAAAACATAGAATCACATTCTCTGTTGTGGCCATGTCATATTGCTCTAGAAGTTTCTAAATGTTTGTTCTCAATTACTTATTTCACTGTGGACTAATAACAATTTGCAGACAAGAAGCAGTCTGCAACTACATTTTGAATAGCACTCTTCTAAACTGTTTGAAGCTTCAAAACTCTCTGAGTAGTTTAAATATTCCCCTCACATCTGTTGTGTTAGTTTTTATTCATTTTGTCAAGCTCCTATCTCAATTATCACTCCTTTGAAATCCCTAGATTCTGATGTAAAATTGTCCTTGTTCTTGACCTGATGACTCACTTAATCTAACCAACCGCTACTTTGTCTCATTGACTAACAATGAGATGTGTTCCTCACCACACAGAGAAGAAGCAGTACCCCCTCACATCTGTTGTGTTAGTTTTTATTCATTTTGTCAAGCTCCTATCTCAATTATCACTACTTTGAAATCCCTAGATTCTGATGTAAAATTGTCCTTGTTCTTGACCTGATGACTCACTTAATCTAACCAACCGCTACTTTGTCTCGTTGACTAACAATGAGATGTGTTCCTCACCACACAGAGAAGAAGCAGTATCGAGAATCTTACATCAGCGACAACCTGGACCTCGACATGGACCAGCTGGAAAAGCGGTCGCGGGCCAGTGGGAGCAGCGCAGGCAGCATGAAGCACAAGCGCCTGTCTCGTCACTCCACTGCTAGCCACAGCAGTTCCCACACCTCTGGCATCGAGGCAGACACCAAGCCCCGGGACACAGGGCCCGAGGACAGCTACTCTGGCAGCGCCATCCACCGCAAGCTAAAAACCTGCAGCTCAATGACCAGCCATGGCAGCTCCCACACTTCAGGGGTGGAGAGTGGCGGCAAGGACCGACTGGAGGAGGACTCACAGGATGACGGTAACAGGATGCCCCATCACGGGCTCTCTTTTTTTCCCTCTCCCAGTGTTTCCAAGTATTGGTGTGTAGAATCGATGTTTGGGAGCAACTAAGTACTAGTACTGAAGAAGAAGGGGTGTCTTGCTATCTTCCTCAGTGTCTTGTTGAGTTGCTTGTGTTTGACTATGCACAGAGCATCCCTCCGGTCATGATCCTTTGCAGCCACACAGTTGAGTGCTTGTAGATTCTAAGTCTTAGCTGTTTATGTGAAGTAGAGTAGAGGCTAGTCCTGCAGCCCTCATGTCTGTATTTTTGATACCCAGATTAAATAAGGCAGTGGTTAGGACAACAGAGTGGAGTGCAGTGATAGTGACAGAAACATCTTGAACTTCTGACACCCCCCCCTCCAAAAGAAAAGATTTAAGTCCACATCATTGGGTTCATTAGTGAAGTGTTTCTTAAGTGCGTCCCGTGTAACCAGAACTATAGGGAGTGTAAAAGAAATATGAGGGTACTTCAAAAAAGTTGATGGAAAGATTTGTATTCTCTTTTAATTCCATTTTTCCATGAACTTTTTGAAGTACCCTTGTATAGCACCTGGCTGCTAGGAACTTAATCTGTGTTAAGGAGGTTAAGATGAGACCTACAGCCTATGTCAGCCAAACGTAGCATATGTGTGCCTCTATTTTATACTATATTTCTGTCTCAAATAAGTGCTATAGCACTCAGTTTTGGGGGAAAGATATTGACACTGTTAAGGAAAACTGCAGACCATGTCTGGTTTCTATAGAATCCATGTGGACCTCAAATCAAGTCACTGAAAGCCCTGAGAGTAGACAGCTGTGGGAAATGGGGAGCTTCCTGAGCTGCTCCTCTGCCTGTGTCAGCAGTTCTTGCGTGGTATGAGGAGTCAGTCTTGGTTTACAGCATAGTAGTACAGTTTTTTTTTTCTTTCTAAAGAATAAGGAATAATTGATACTCACATCATGGCATTAGAAGACATGTAGATAACCCAGCAATCCTGTGAAAGAGAGAGTAAGTAGCATGCAGTTGAGATTTCTCCCTAGAGTTTCCTATTGAAGAATCCCATTAGAAAATTTATTTTCAAATATGAATAATTCCACAGTGCTCTCAAAGTGTGGCTATGGGTTATGGTAGTCATTTCCCTTCATGTCTCTAAATATCTTTTCCTTCTTTGGTGTCAGAAATAGAAATGTTGGTTGATGACCCCAGGGACCTGGAGCAGATGAATGAAGAGTCTCTGGAAGTCAGCCCAGATATGTGCATCTATATTACGGAGGACATGCTCCTGTCACGGAAGCTGAATGGACACTCTGGTGAGCTCTATGGGAAGTTCTTCTCCTGAGGTAGTGGATTATCCTGGACTGACAAACAGGAGCCTCAGAAAATAGAAGGGGCGGTAGGGGCTCTAAATCAGAGACAAGATTGGAATAAGAGCCATTCCAAGGCAGTGTCATGAACTGCAGGATCAGGTGCCTTCTGTGGAAGAAAGGGAAGGGGAGAAGTACCCAGGACTGGGAGTTTAGCATCTTCTGCCCCGTGCTTTGGACAAAAGGTAGTTGTCTAATAGGATTTTCTTTATTTTTTGCTATATTAAATCAGTGAATCATATAATGCATCTAAAAGGGGCCTTGGAGACCCTTCAGTCTGGCATCCTACTTTTTACAGATGAGAAAACCTATAGACTAGAGAGGACAAATGCTGCATGGCTAGAAACAGAAGTCAAGCCTCCAGGTGTGTTTTGTTTTGTTTTCTCCACTACATTATATTGGTACAGGAGTCTGGAAGAAAAAGTGTCAAACAGGGTTGACTTAAAAAGACACTCTTAAATTCTGTATGTGTATGAATTCTTCTAGAAAGCATGTATTCATTATAACCCTGTTATAGGATTACATAATATTATATAATATGTTTCTATCATATAAAAGTTACTCCATTTTTAGAAAAGGCAGCAGTATGGGTTTTGTTTATAAACCTCAGTCACTTCTGACTATGGTTGTCACACAGCATGACTTAGTCTTTGCTCTTTAGAGAAGTGTACCTTAGGAACCAGCACTGAGGAAATGGCCTGAGTGTTTTTTCTGCCACTTCCAGCTTTGATGGAGTGAAAGGTCCTGTTAGGACTGACATGACCTGTCATTGCCCTTGTCAGACCACAGTCCCTGAGGCTCAGTGAGCCTCTTCCGGGTGCCAGACACTGGGAATCAGAGATGATCAAGACTGACACACACAGTCCCCACCATCCTGGTAATTACTTGACGAGAGCATGAGGTGCTTTTTACTGCAGAATTCTATTTGCTAGCCCCGTAGAAGCATGGCCTCCAGACCTTTGCTAGGAACAGACCTTCCATGGTTGCAGAGAATCACTCTCCCTGACCAACATGGACTCAGCAGGCTGGTTGCCCTGGGCATGTTAGAGTTCATATACCGAACTTTGCATTTGCTGCCCATTTACTTTATTATATTGAATGTTCTCCTTACAAATACATTTCAATATATATTAAATATAAATTCACGACTATATGCACATTATATGTGCACAGAAAACTTTACGTTTATATGTTTGTGGAAAGAAAATGGTCTGTACAGTATGCACCAAAGTGTCTGTGGGAAGGGATATGAGGGAAGTTGTCTTGCACTTTGTATTTAACATTTCTGTCTTTAATTTTCATGTGATTGTTAATTTTGTAATTTTAAATAGAAATAAAATTTCAATAAATAGGATGGCTCTTTTAAAAGGTTTATATAAAGAAAATGTTTATTGAATGTTATTTATAATAGCCAAAAAAAGAAAACAATGAGTGGTTAAATTATTCTCTATTCATACAATGGAATGTTATACAGCCATTAAATAGAAGATTTTCAAAGAATATTTAATAACATAAGAAAGATAGGTATGGAAAACAGTACAAATTCTATAAAAGTATGGTCTAATTAAAAAATTATTTATATGTATATAAAAAGGGAAGAAAATACATAAAATATTAATAGCCTTATCTCTGAATGATAGTGTTATAGGTAGATAATTTTTTCTTACTTGCATCATCCTAGTCTTCCAAATCCTATACAATTTGAGCATTTAAACATTGTTTTTAAAATATTGAGCTAAGATTGAATGGTGATGACATACACTACTCTGTCCTTCATTTTCATTGAAATGTGGTAGGAACTTTCTAGTGACTTTTCTAGTGGTGGGTCTGGGTTTTGGAGAAACCAGGCTTTTTATTTTATTAGCAGTGGGTCTGAGTTTTGGGGATTATTTATAAGCATGTTAGCCAAGGGCACATTTAGCAGGAAGTATTAAAAGAACCATACCAAGTGCCAACCAGTGCACAAGTTCACATGTTCCTATGGGGATTCATTCAAAGGCTTAATGCTTTTTAAAAGATAAAGATCTTTCTAGAGCATGACCCTCTGCTAAAGGTATCACCTGAGAGTTTTTAAACTGTCTATGTGTAAACTAGGAATGTCTTCATATTTCATGTTACAGTTTAACTAATAATTGAACACTTCATATATACAAGGCATATACTAGACACTGAATCATTATGAGACATTTCTAAAGAGTTAAGGTATAGAACACAAGTGATTTCTGTAGGCTGCTAGCAGTAATAAAAATCACATTTCTCAAGGTTCTTTTTTTGTCAGGTGGAAATACACTTTTCTTAAGAAGCTGTTTGTCCTTATGGATCTAGGGCTTGACGTTCTCACTTGCTTCACCTATTGGCAAGAACAGTTTCAGTGGTATTCATGTACATCACCAGTTCCTGTTGGTAATTTTACCTTCTGAAACATTTTTCTTGGGTGCTTCACTGGCATGCCACAGTCATGTAGGGAAGTGTCAGCCCTGGATTTCTGTTTCTTAAAATTTAGCAGGTTTCCCCCTGAGCACAGAGGTATTAGGAGCTCTGTTGATCTCAGAGCCCCAGTACTGAATTTTCACTGTGGCCTCCCATGTTGGTCTCTTACCAGTGGGATCTACTGCAGGAGGCATGTGCCACAGTGTTTTCATCAGCCAAGAAGAGTCCCATGAACTGTGTTCTAGATGCAGGCCCTGTACCTAACACTTTCCATGCATTCACTGATTAATCATCATTAAAACTATAGTAAACAGGTGCTGGTATCAACCCATTTTATAAGAGGAAGAGACTGAGACACAGGGAGGCTATGTAACTGGCCACAGTACACAGCTAATTAATTATCTGAGCCTGTCTGGGGCAGGTTCCATCCCAGATCTGTGTGACACCAGATGCCGGAGTCCCCACACTTAACCATGACTCATCCAAGTGGACTCAAACGTAGAACCCCACACCACTGTTCAGCAGGGGTTAAATTCAAAATCAGTGATATATGGAAACGGGGCCAACTTCATGGGATATAGTAAAGAGACTGCTTTACACTTACAGTCTTTATTTTTATTTCTAACTTACTCATATAGAGCTTAATTAGGATTTATTTTAGAAAATTCAGACTCAAAACTCCTTCCTCCTCTTTAACCTCACATTTACTCACTACCCTCTATTTAAGCTGAGAGAGAATGTGTGTCACCCTAGTTTTCTGCCACCAACAAGTCACAATGAGACTTTTCAGTAACGGTTAATATTTGATTTTTCATTCCTGGGAGTAGTATATATCAGAATATGTAAGAGGTGTGAATAATTTGGAGTGTTCATTGTTTTTATCTCTGTGTTTTACTTCAGGGTTGATTGTGAAAGAAATTGGCTCTTCCACCTCCAGCTCTTCAGAAACAGTTGTCAGACTTCGTGGCCAGAGCACTGATTCTCTCCCACAGGTACTGAAGGCATCGGCAAATTTAGATTAGGAACTGGAGTTATAGAAAATTTTAAATAGGAACTTAATTTATATTTATACAGATGAGCAAAAAACATACATTCTAGTTTTATTCTGAATTTATTTCTACTTTGTTAGTTCCACTTATCTTTGAGTTGATTTTCATTTGGATAAATTGTATTCTTTGCTTCACACTTTAGGAGGGAAGCCTCTGGTCTTCAGGCTTCAAGATTGTGTGTGTGTGTGTGTGTGTGTGTGTGTGTGTGTGTGTGTGTGTGTGTGTGTTGACTGACTTCATCAACCTGGGAGAATAATATTCTTGTCAGGTGTGTTATGGCAGAAATGTTTCCACACTCAGATTATTTCATTCAGATTGAATTTTCACAGTATGCTGAACTAGAGCGTTTGACAACCTGTGATCACTGGTTAAACTATTAGAATGTTAAAAATATAGATAAAATTCCTGAAGCTCATGGGCGCAGCATTTGGATATACTGTGCAATTGATGCTCACCTCTATTTTCTGAGCACTCTCTCCCTCCTTCTGTACCTCTCTTCCTTGTTCTCTCTCCATCTTATTTTTTTTGCCTTCTATATGTGTTTCTCTCTTTTCTTTCTTTCTCTTGCATTCTGGCTCTCTTTGTCACATACTATTTTCCCCCCTTTCTTCCCTTTTTTCACATTTGTCCTTTCTTTCTTTTACTTCCATTGAAGTAGCCATAATAATGTACAAATGATGTTTATTAAATATTTTTCTGAAAGCTCCTATAGTAATCTTTTAAGCAATGTGTGTAGCATGATGAATTGGAGTAGGGGCTCCAGAGTCAAACCGCCTACTTTGCACCCCAACTCTGCCACTCAGTGTTAACTTTTACTGTACAGAAATGTTCATGGGCGCAGCTGAGAATCAGATTCCACACCTACAGATGGGGAGAACACTTGTGTGCCTGCCTTGAGCGTTTGTGAGGTGACCAAATGGTTCTCTGTGTGCAGTCCTGTTGGAGCCTGGGAAGCCTGCTTCAGCACAAGGGATTATCCTGTGCTGGAGTGTCACTTAGATATGACACTTCTTAGAACAATGTCCTTTTGGAACTTTTGTGTCTGGTGAAAGTGGTATCTTCTTCTAACAAGGTTTTCCTTTGTGGTTTAAGCAGCTAAAGTTGGAGGAAACAATGCCTAGTTTCCTTAAATAATCCATTAAAAGTATCTTCCATTCACGTAATGATCTGCACCATTTTTAGTCTATTTATATTTGTCACCAGTACCACCTCTTGGGATAATGAGTTCCAAAAGTCTGCTCCCTGCTATGGAAAGCAAGTGGCAGAACATGACATCTTTGAGTGTTCAGGAGCTGCCTCTCAGTCCTGGTGCTGCCTCCCAACCTTTTCAGCACCAAGAACACTTTATGTGCTACCCAGGAATTCTGACTTTTCAGAAAATAGTTCTTCAAACTGTGTTACTTGAGTAATTGGTTTGTTTTCCCATTTCTTATTAAAATAATAACAGATCTCAGCATAAGAGTGTTGCCACATTGAATTGCCATATCCCAGTGAAAAAGCAAACAGTATCTTCACCTATGTAGCCTTATTTTAGATAATTGCTTGATTTCTGAAATGCTAAGGATAGTTGGATTCCTGTTGTATTTGCATCTCTTTGCTTTGTAATATTTATTTATAAAATGGAGAGAATAATATCACCTGCCTCATAGGGCTGTTAGGAAGATTAATATATGCAGAGTATTTAGATAAGGGCCTGGCATATATAGTAAGTGCTCAGAAAATGTTAGCTGCTGTTATTATTGGTGGTGGTGGTGGTGGTGATGTATTTTCTGACAGCGCCTCAGGGGTCCAGAAACTCTTAGATTGGAAACCACTTTCTAACATATAGGGATTACTTAACCTTTTATGATTTTGCAGAATCTCTCTTTGCAGGGCACATATGCTAACCTTTTGTTTAGTCTGTATTCTTAAAGTTGTTTTAATCCCTCCTTATTTTGCAGACTATATGTCGAAAACCAAAGACCTCCACTGATCGACATAGCTTGAGCCTTGATGACATCAGACTTTACCAGAAAGACTTCTTGCGCATTGCGGGTCTGTGTCAGGACACTGCTCAGAGTTACACCTTTGGATGTGGCCATGAACTGGATGAGGAAGGCCTCTACTGCAATAGCTGCTTGGCTCAGCAGTGTGTCAACATCCAAGATGCTTTTCCAGTCAAAAGAACCAGCAAATACTTCTCTCTGGATCTCACTCATGATGAAGTTCCAGAGTTTGTTGTATAAAGTCCAACTGCGTGCAGCCGTATGGGCAGCCTGCTGTGTGCTGGAGGCTGTGAATGTTGTGGGTTCTTTACATACTACTTGTGCCATATTTTCCTTACCCCAAACATAGCTCTTTCTTTATAATATTTACAATGGAAACAAAAGCCTTGTGACAGTTGCACTTTAAGTATTACACAGAGGTAAAAGAACTACAGAGAATGTACAGCAAGACAAGTGCCAGAAGTTCATTGATCCTTTGCAAGGAAGTGCTCTTTACTGGTTACCAAGCCTTCAGAGTATTGGACTATGGTGTGTTTGTTCATCTGTTGCTTTTTAATCCAGTTACACATAACATCACATTTTTTATCACTTGAAAGATACTGTTAGGTTTATTTGTTTTCTTGTAAATTTTTTTACGACTCCCTCATGAAATGCTCATGGTTTGAGGGAGGAGAGAGGGAAGGTTCTCTCTTCTTTCAATGGAGAAACCTTACCTAGTATATAGCCATTACTGCCTCACTGAGGCGGTCCCAAAGTGAACACTAATGAAGTGATCAAAATCATGTGGTTCTAGCAAGCCAAAGATATGTATGAAACAGAAGCACGCTGAGTCGAGAAGACGTGAATCAAGCAATAACCAGAAGACTGTGCATGCTGTGATCCCTAGTGACTCCTTTATACCTGCTGAGTGCCATGTGCTCCTCTTTGCTCTTCCACAAAGCTCTAGGACTCAGCTGAGTTCCTCATCCAAGTAACTGATTAATTATGTTCATGTCATAGTGCATTTTTGTGGAGTTTACAAAACTGGTTTCTGTTAAATTTATGGAAATATCTTAGAAAATGTTTGTGGTTGGTGGTGTTTTTTGTTTGGTTGGATTTTGTTTTTGTTTTTGTTTAATTTTCAAGAGCAAATTATGGTAATGCTAGTTTCTGCTTAACCAAAATACCCTAACTATATGTATATGTTATACATATAAATACAAGGGATTGTGTGTGTTTATATGTGTTTAAAGCTTACTAACTTTTCACTTTGGCTTCCATCACCATCTAGTATACATAAAATCCCTTGTTTAATATTGAGGATACATCACTGAATGAATGATACCTATGGACAATCAGTTAAAATATGTAGAGTTAAGAATGACTTTCCTCATGTGCCTTTGGCCATGATTCTCAGCCCTGATTGCATATTAGAATTATTTTGGGAGCTTTTAAAAAAATAACAATGTTTGGGTCCCACCCCAGACCAATTAAATTAGTCTCTTGTGGCGGGACCCTGGTGGAATTGCCTTTTCTTTCAAAGTTCTCCAGATGGAATTTATATGCAACAGAGTTGAAAACCACTGATTTAGAGTGTGTCTTTTCGTTAAGTTTGAAGTAAAGATATACAGGAGATGGTAACATACAAGAAAGGGCCATTTTTCAGATAGTTACCGCTGTGCTGCCGTTATAATATATAATGAAATCAAGTCAGGAGAGTGAATTTATCAACCTTTTGAAGTATAGTAAAAACGTTGCTCACACTTTAGGAGAGTACTTCATAGCACAATGTCTTTCTATGAGATTTTTTAATGATTTAGTATTTTACAACATTTGTTTACCATGTTTTGATATACCATTTTTTCTATCTGCCAGGTTTTATTAAAAAAAACCAAACTATATATTATTTTCTAAAGAAATAGTCATATTTTTGTACAAAATTATGTTCTCAGATAAAAAAGAAATAGATTTAGGGTACAGCAGAACATAAGCAGTGTTACCTGAGGATGGGAGTCAGTATTATAAAACAAATGGTGAACACGGACACACCCCCTCTGTGCTGCCCCCTCCTGCACCAGGCGCGGGTGTGCTTGCAACAGAGCCTTGTCAAATTAGTTTCACCTGACACTTTAAAAGGAAAAAGGTTCTACAGAGTTCCGTGGTCATGAAATTATTTTGTTTTCATCAAATGCTTTAAAAGAACCAAAGTTTCAGATATCAGAATGTATAAAAATATCTCAGTCTCTCTAAAAGTATGAAAGGATTATTTAATGTCTGTTTTACTTTTAAGTCATTAAATAATCCACTGTTTCTTAGAAATGCTTAAGAGACAAATCCAGGTGAAGTTTGTACTCTAAAGAGTTTAGATCATAATTCAGTGCATTTCCTTAGCTCCTAGTGTTTCTTGCAAACATTAAAAAAAAAAAAAAATTAAACAGGTAGCGCTTTATACTTTATTTTCTCTCTACTTCAGCCAGAATCAGGTCTTCAGGGTTTTGCCAGCATTGTCGATGGTTTTGCACACCCTCTTTCTAATTGGATTTGTGAATAGTCTTATGGGTTTTCAAAAATGAAACATGTTAAAGAACATTCTTGCTTTTTGATCCACTGTTTGCAGCAGAATAATATATATGTATATGAAAATCCACTTTGAATAATCTACATTTTTGTATTTGGAAATTGTTTTAAAAAATAAAACAGGAAAAGAAAAGTATAAAGCTGTTATTTATTCTACATTTGTTACATATCCATTGCTAGTCAGTATACCAGTTTGGTATATATTGCCTCTACACATCCACATTTGTATTTCCAGCAGTGAGCTTTATATCTACATAAACTGTAAATAATCCTTTCTGTGAAAGGATCATCATATCAGGATGATACCAAAAGTATGTAAAAACTGCATTATTTTGTAATTATTTCTTATAGGTATTTCATGGTAAGATTAGCAGTCAATAAAGTTACTTTTTTTGCCTTTAAAGTGCCTTCTTTATTATTAGAGTTCTCAATTAAGCAAGAAGCATTGAGTGAATATGTTTTCTTTGTGTTCTTTCCTGTAATGGAGCATGTTAAAGGACAACCCAAAGGTCCCACATGATAGGATCTCAAGCAAAACAGTCCTTGTAGTGATGATGGTCATAGCTGATGCTGAGCACTACCATGTGTCAGATCCTGTTTCATGTGTAGGAGGATTGCATGTATTAACTCATTTCATCCTCATGTTCCCATGAGGTGGGTACTATTATTCTCAAATTAGAGATGAAGAAAGCAAGTTTCCAAGAGGTAAGGTCTGTGAGGTTGTGGTAGTCAGCCACTATTCAGTACCAAATTATGGGCTGAAAGGACTCTACTTTTAAATATATAATATTTTTAATTAAAATTACTAACTTAAACCCTAACTTAAACAGTCATCATTGGAGTGTTGGTTTTAATTTTTAAAAAATAAGTGGTTGCATTTAAAAGCACGCATTTGCAGGACTAAACATGAGGGCAACACAGCATAAAGGAAAGAGCCCAGAGCTGAGAGTCAATGGAAAGGATTCTGAAAAGCCCAGCTGTCTTTCTAAAAGTAAATTCATTACCTTCTCTTTGCTCCAGTTTTCTTGGCCATGAAATGGGGATAATAATTCAGAGAACCATTTGAGGAATTAAGTAAGGTAGTAAGTATAATCTCTGATGACTAGGGTGGGAGAGAGGAGGGGTTTTAAATCTTTTAACATTTAACCTTTATAGGACAGAGCCATTTGGAAGCATACAATACAAAACAAAAGCTTTCTATTGGGGTGTTACTCATAAATTTTGAAGAATATCTGGTAAATTGTAAGTAAGTTGGAATCAAGGAAAGAGAATATCTGGTCACCTACTATGCATCTGACATTAGACACATCATGTCTAATCTTCACAACCCTTCAGGGAGTTGTCACCCTCATTTCACAGCTGAGGAAACAGCTAGTGAGTGTGCAGTCAGAGCACAGTTTTAAACCCAAATTCACCTCCAGGATCTTTGCTTTTTCTATGATATATACCATGTTACCCACTGCTCTTAGAGAAAGGCTCAGAACCTAATAGAGAAGACAGACTCACAATTCTGACAGTGGATGAATGAAACTTATTTGCTAACTCAGTAATTTTTCAAGCATCACTACGTACCAGAGATACCCAAAACTTATATGGGCATTAGTTTGGCACAGAGGCAGTAAAGACCTGGGGGGTGGGGAATGGGAGACAAGGAGATCAGAGAAGGTTGTACTGGGAAAAAGAGCCTTAAATGGAGACTTGTGGCAAGAGTAATTACGCTCCAGCTGAGTCATGAAAGGTCTTGGGTACCCAGATGAGTACACTGAGTTTTTTTCTGGACAGTGGGGAGTCATTGGAGGAGTTATAAAAGAGACGTGTATTTGGGATTTGAGACAAATAATAGAAGCAGTATAACTAGAAGGTTGGAGGGACAGCAAGACTGGAGAGATGAGGAGGGTCTGAACCAGGAGTGATAGCACGGAGAAAAGATTCAAAGGCTATGTAGGAAGCAGAATCAAAGGACTGTGTGTTACACACACATACACACACACACGCAAGGTTGTCATCTCCTAAACTAAATATTGGAGAAATAGGCAATTTCCCCATACTTGGCAAAGTCCTTGGGGAAACTAGAGTTAACCGCTGCTTGTAATTCTGAATTAAAATCCACTCTGCATGAGTACTTTGAGTATTAAAAATTGGCACAGGGCCGGCCCCATGGCACACTCGGTAGAGTGCGGCGCTGGGAGTGCAGCGACGCTTCTGCCACGGGTTCGGATCCTATGTAGGACTGGCCAGTGCGCTCGCTGGCTGAGCGTGGTGCGGGCGACACCGCACCAAGGGTAGTGATCCCCTTACCAGTCACAAAAAAAAAAAAAAATTGGCACAATGACCACAACTACTCCAGTCTATAGCAGTGGTTCTCAATCCTGGCTGGCTGCACATTAGAATGATCCATAGAGCTGAAAACAACAGTCCCTGGGGCCCAACCAAGAGCTGATTTATTTGGTGTGGGATGATTCTGCAAGTGATGCTAATGTGCATCAGGGTCACAACCACTGGTCCATAGCTGAGCCCAAGCAATATAGACTGACCAGGCTTTCTACTCCTCAGCTAGCATGGTCTACACTTGGAATGGGCTGGGTCTCCCAAGTGTCCAAGTATATTGCATTTTGTGAGAATGACTTTTTTTTTTTTCTTTTTTTGGTCAATAAAGCTGTCAGAGAGTGGACCAATGTTCAAATGAGGCACTGAACTCACCATTTCATAGTCTGAATATACCCATATTCTAAAGAGCTGGGTGTTACATACGTAAGACTGTTTGGCTAAGTATGAGGGTGGGGGTTATGTGAGTATACTAAAATATTTTAACATCTCCCTGTTTCTGTTTTATTTGCCTCATCATTTCTCTAGTGCTTTACACAAATTGATCCCCAGACAGAGGAGGTATAATGAAAATAAATAAGCTAAATTCCACATAGCTCTTTAATTTTTAAGACATGTACTTTGAATTAAGAGAGAAGTCTGACCTCTGAAAAGTCCTGATCAGTTGCTATGAGCCATTGCAGGTGATGAAGTTGCATAGTCTCAAGAGATTAATTGAAGGTCTATAAACATGGCACAGCTATAATTAACTGACTCATTACTTAGGATGAGTGTTTACCCATCTGGTGTCAACTGTAGTCAGTTAAGGTCTCCCTAATTTATTACTGTCATTACTGCAAACGATAGATTTCATAAGAACAAACAGTTCCCAAATTAGGAAAGAATTATGTTCCAAGTTTGCTTCTAAATTGGTTGTTTGGCATTTAGAACACACATCCCCAACTTCCCTACTAGCCCTCAAATGCCGAGATATTATTAGAGATGATTTTTTTTCTTGTTCATTAGTAACCATTTGTTAGAGAAGAGGCCCAAGCATACATAAATAAGGTAGGTGGAGTGACCTCACTAGCAGATAGAGGTGGTTGCACCCCCATAGACCAATAGTTAAGTCTTCAGGGTTTACTTCTCATAGTACATCCGTGCCCAACCAACTATAGAGAAAAGTAGAAAAAAGCTTCAGGCAAGCCATACCAAGATGAAACAGTTCTAAGCCACTTTCTACCATGGGGGCTCCATGAGGGGTGCTTCCACTCTTTCCTCATCCACACCCCAGCTGCCCAGTCCAGAGTTACTCAATGCTACTCTGCCATCATGACAGATTCAGCTGGAACAGGCCCTCTTCTCTTTCTCATGTGCAGAGGTGGCAGGAAGCAGATAGGTCTAGGAGCTACTCTAAGAAGCAGAAGCCCCAGGGTCGTCTTTAGACTCTATCCCTGAATTGCTACAGGGCAAGAATAAGATGTTTTAAGAGAGAAGTTAAGGAGCCTATATTGGGGCCTTTAAATGCAACATCAAAAAGAATGCGTAAGACCATAAAATCCACTGGAGGATTTAAAAGAGGCCTAAGTAAATTGATATGCTATGTTCTAAAAGGAAAGACTCAGTAATGCAAGTGTCAATTTTTTCCATCAATTCCAATCAAAATCCCAAATGAAACATTTCAACCATGATGGAACAGTAGGAACTGATTTTACCCTCCCAACTTAAATAACTAAAAAATGAAAAAACATGTATGAAAAAAAATGTTTTTTAGTCATTTAACAATAGTGAAATATAATAGCCCTCAGAGAAGAGAAACAAGGTGAATATTATCATTTCCCCAGCTCACTGAATGGAAAGTTTCCAGGCCACAACACAGACAGGAGGACAACAAATGGTGTCCTGGTGATCTCCCTAAATTGAGAAAGCAGAATTGAGAATTTAGGTAGGCCAAGTTGGCTTGAGTTCACAGGCAGAGTAAGAGAGAGAGAGATGCACAGAGAAAAAGAGAAGGCCTGGGAGATCTGCAGAAAGTTCTCCTCCTGAGTACTGATCAGCATATACGGTACTTGTGAGGAAAGCATCAGAGGCTGCAAGGGAACCCTGAAAATGGAGCAAAACATTCCCTGGAGCTCATGTAGGGCCAGGAGTGGTCTGAGTTCCCACCAGCTAGAATGAAAAGTTTCTAATACATGGGGCATTTAGTAACGTACTCGGAAATGTATTGCCAGGGGTTGCTCTGGTCCTGCCTAACAAAGATGAAAAAGCAAGCCTTTTTAAATATTGAAAGAAAAGTGCTATCAACTTAAAATTCTATACCCAGCAATAGTGTCTTTCAAAAACAAAGATGAATACGAACTTTTTCAGGTATACAAAAGCTGAAAGAATTGAACACCAGCAGACATGCACAAGAAATGTTGATGGAAATTTTTCAGTCCAAAAACAAAAACAAAGGACAAAAAACAAAGATGAAAATCCAGATCTTTACAAATAATGAAGAGCCCCAGAAATACTATGTGGGTAATTAAAATTTTTTTATCATATTTTTTTCATATTTTAAATCTCTTTACAAAATAATTGACTATTTAAAGCAACAATAAAATCAATGTATTGTGGAGTTTATGACATATGTAAAAAGTAAAATGTCTGACCACGATAGCAAAAGGACCAAGAAATGAAAATACATGGTTGTAAGTTTTTATGCTACATTTAAAGTGGCATAGTATTACTGGAAGGTGGACTATGATGGCTTAAACATGTATGCTACAAACTCTAAGGCAACCACTAAAAATAAACAAAACAGAGTTATAAGGGATAAAATGGAATAATAAAAATTACTAAACCCAAAAGAAGGCAAAGAGGAAAAAAGTGTCAAAGAACCAATAGAGCAAGTAAAAAGCATATAGAAACTTGGCACATTTAAACCCAATCATGTCAATAATCAAATTAAAGGGTAAAATTTACCCCAAAGGCATTTACAAGGAAAATCCAAGAATTTTTTAAAACATAGACACAGTGAGAAGATATTTACTCCTCCAGAGGCAAAACACACAATAGAGTTCCTGTTATTAATGATACTGACCCCAAAATAGCCATTTA